TAATTCTCTCGGATAAGGTCTCGAACGATCTGTTCTTGGACAATGGAATATATATATATATATATATAGTTTTGCCCTTTCGAAATATTATACTTAAAAATCGAGAAATAATTTAGGAAGATTGTTCAATGAGAAAATATGGAAAGTAGCGAGAGATACTTACTTGTTTTCATAGCAGATTTTTCTTTTACGCGGAGATATGTTTTTTTTATCGATTATTTTTATAAAAGAAATTCTGTGTCGCGCGCAACGAATAAATGAAATTTTCTAACGATATTCGAATAATGTCAATCAATGGAAATCTGTCATTTTCCAAATTTTCTTGAAAAAATGTTATATATTGTATAAAAACAGAACAAGCATTGCTATGTTTTTCCATTATAGTATGTATATTTTGTAATTTTAATCGAGAATATATTATCAAGTTTCATATTTAAAATGTGACAGCTAAATTTAAATTGCACTTGAAATATTTAATATTGTACACGCTTGTCTCTGTGTAAAACTAATAATTCTGACTTTTACTTTCTTGCCTGGTAATTGAAGATATAAGCGATTCAATAATTTCTATTACTCGCAATGATGCTAATTCGGAAAATATTTTCATACGAAAATCGTGATAAAGTGTACGCATTAGTGATACAAAGTAAGTATCTCGTATATTCCTCGCAGCTCGTGAAATCATTCATCAATTGTTTCTCATGCAACATTTAATTGCTCTAAATGGTTAATCGAATATATGGCATTTATTTGAATAATCGGCCTTAATGTTCCCACTCGTTGGGATTTTATTGATACTCCAATAATTTCCTGCACGATAATATATGCGGGCAAAGGATTTCGCGTAAAAACCAATAACATTATAATTATCAATCTCTAAAGAGCCAGAAATGGACATGAAACGCGAAATTTGTCCGATGATTAATGCATCTTTATTATTATACGAATTATATAACTGAGCATTGCTCTTTGCTCCGTTATTCTTTTATTATTGTTTTACATTCTATAACAAATCTATATTTAAATAATAATTCTAGCTAGCAGCTTTCTATAGAGAAATATGCATTAATATTTTCAAGTAAATAGTTTAAAGGAATAAAATACTCATCATAAAGAATAGAGTATGTAGGAAAGGTAGTTGGTTGTTAGTGAAGATCGAACATTCCGATTGTTCCCTTGACGATGATAAAATAAAATTTGATCCGATATATTTTGATACGTAAATCTACGTACTTTAAAAGTTAGTAGACAATTTCTAAGAGAACAGCATTATCTTTAACTTCAAAGAGAATTGGTAAGAAAGGTGAGAGAGACGTGTCAAAGTATCATACTGGTATGTAGATACGTCGTTAAGAAAGAAGTGTGTTCCTGAAAAGAAGCCATACGCGGCATAATACCTTTCTTCATGGTTCACTGGAGACAGATGTATTTTCCCTTATACGAGCAAAATAGAGCGAAATAGGGGGGTAGTAGAGGGAAATGGAACGATATAGAGCGATACCGACACCTTACACGCTCTAGGCGAAAGTATTCCAATGCCGAGAGAGACAAATTTTATTAGGAAGGATTCGCATGAAAATCATGTTTGCGCGCCTCTTCCTTCGTTTCTACCTGCAACTACGAATACGACTACTTTTCTTAGACTTTTTCTATTTACGTTCTAGCATTATGCCAATTCCTTTTCTTCGTCTTTCATTTTATATTCCATGAAAAATATGTCTTCGTTGTAGCGAGCTATGATATTTTTCGAAAATCTAAAAGCAACGTTAGTTTGACATTTGTTCATTTAACCCTTTCATTCCGAACGCTGCATATATGAGACATTTATAGGACGCCTAGTAGGTCCGAGCGCGATGTAACGATTCCTTCTGGGTATTTCTTTTGCTAATATTAAATTTCGTTCGCTGAATTTGCCAATTGATATTATTATTAACAAGGTAAAATTAGTATGTTTTCATTAGAAATATTCATCGTGATTACGGAAAGATTTCTATCGGGATTTTTAGATTCGATCGTTAGCGATTAAATCAGAATCGAGAATTGCGAGCAAGTTAGCAGGATGATACTAGCGGACGTGTTACTAGAAGCGTGTCACTAGGAACGTGTCACTAGGAACGTGTCACTAGAACCGGTCTAGTAGAAGCAGGCTAGTGGTTGGAGTTCAGCTGGACAGCGGAGATAATCTCTGGAGTTAGCGTCGGTCAAGTTTGAATTACGACGTGTGACGATGCAGTCTCGCGGACGTAAATTGTGATAAATTATACCGAGGGGTATAATAATATGTACACGGTCAATAAAACGTCTCTCTCCCTCCCCCTCCCTCCCCCTCCCTCTCTCTACATTGACGATTTAATGCCGGCTTCCGTAGCAATTATATCGATCGTTGCGAAACAGACGCGAATACGTTTCCCTCTTTTTTTATTTCTTTCTTTCTTTTATCATAAGTTAGATCTCGAATGAGAATGAAATCGATTTTTTCTCGTGATTACTAAAATAATAGAAGATTTTGATCAAAGGAAAAATTTTCACGCGTAGGTATACGCACGCTTCCACAAAGACTCTTGCCTTTGTACGATGAAAGCGCGGAGGTATAACAAAAGAGACGTTGAAAGAAAAACTTGGGAAATTTGAAGGGGTTCTACCTCTTTCCTCAAACGCCAATAATGCTTCCTGCTTGACGCGTTATATAACCTTGTATACAAAAGAAAATTTCTGCCTCCTTTCAATTGGAAATATATATTTCAATATCTTTTTTTTATATTTTTTCTAAGGGTTTAGTAAATTAACATTAAATTAATGAAATTTGGTAGCACGATATACGATTATCGTTCTACAAATGGCTAGATTTCAAAGACATTTTTACAATAGACAAAGAAAAGGCAAAGAATAGTGAAAAGAAAGTAGAAGTCGTACAAATAGATTGGGGGGTCAAACAATAGTAACACGGACGAAAGACATAAGAATGGAAAGAGAATGAACGGATTGAGAAAGAACGGAAATGATCGAATGATAGAGCTTACGTGATAGGAAAGAAGAGAAGATAGCTGCATTATCAAGAATCGAATGAAAAGGATAGGGATGATACATAATAGAAAAGAGCAAACAACGCTAAAGGACCAAGCACGAGAAATTTGTCGGATTTTATTGGGTCGAGATCGTAGATAGAATAAGGATTTTGTTTCTAACTTACACATATAGGTATCTTCTAACTTACTTAATAACTCTTCTTATTGATAAATCTTGAATGAATTAGGTTGAAAAATGATTAACACGTTGTAGGATAGACTGTACGCATATGCGGATAAATATTGGGACTCGTAAAGGAACGCGAATCGAAATATCGTCGTTGGGTTGTTTCAAGTTAACTCTTACATATTCATGGAAAGGGTGGGTCTTGTGCTTTCGCATATGTCGCCAATAACTTGCTAGTTTTGCAATGGGATCGAGTTTGTACAGTTCGTGGACGAGGATGAGAGAGGAACGAGATGTTGTGTTATCTTTCCTGTTCGCGATCTAGAGCAATCGTCGCGTAGAATTTCTACGACGATAAACTTTACGGCAATTGATCTGCTTCGATTTGAAGTTTCTACAATAAAATGATATCGAGCGATAAGATTCGTGTGAATAGATGAATAACGATTAAACAAGAAAGTATTGTAATAATGTCATTTTATCGTTAAACAATGGCGATAGTAATCATTTCGTCGTGAAAAATGATAATACTGGATAACGATATCGAGATTAGTCAAAGAACAACTTCCGTTCGTCTTCGTTTGGAATGAAAATTCTTGGAATGAAAAACGGACGTCGCGAATAGCATCATAGCAGCCGCGTCGCGTGAAATCAATTTACGGGAAGCGCGTTAAAAAAGAAACGAATAGACCTCTATCCACCGGAAAGGTCTAATTTTCCATATTCATGAAGGAGCGAGATGAAAATTCGTTCCTTCCGTCCTTGCCACGAACAAAAAAAATATTTTCTCTCTTTTTATCTACTTTTTCTATTTTTTTTTTATTTTTTCTACTTTTCTCTGTATTTCTTTGTCAGTGTGAGTATACGTGAGTGTGATTTTTGGAGGATTTTTATTCCAAAGTATCAGGATTTTTAACGAAACTCTCTATTCGTATCGCGAGTGAGCTCGTTGCGAGAACGATCGAGAAAAATTGACCATATGTCGGCGAATGAACGAGAAACGAAGAAACGGAAAAGTTATTTCACGGTACGGGAAAAGAGGAGTAAGGGGGGGGAGGGAATGAAGAGATCACTCCTATCGTTGGTTTACCGACAACGAGCCATTATTTTTTAACGAATTCGATCGAAGACGAACGAACAGCCGATCTTACGGATATCGAAACGAATGGTAACCATGCAAATTTCGATTAGCACGTTTGTGAAAAGCGTTGTGGGAGTTGGGTATCGTTGGAAAGATTCGATTCCGTCGAAACGAAGCACCCATCTCCGTATTTATTCGTTCGAACGATCTCGGCTAAGCGACACCAAGATGTTATTCGGCCTTTTTGAATTTCTAATAGAGATGCAAATGTTCTTGTCTGTCACTAACGACACGCCGCAAGTGTTTTATAAAACGGGTCCAATTTGTTGATACCTAAGAACAATGGAAATCTTCAAAGAGTTTATAATCAAGAATGGGATCAAGTTAAATTGAAATCTTCCACGATACAAGAACGCACGTATACTCATACATATATTCTATCATATATACTGTATGTTTCAATATACGAAATAGATACGTATTAAACATATTTTAGTTAGTGAAACGTTGCTCGAAAGCATAATGAATAAATAATTACAAGCGATTAATATGTACTCAATTTCTAGATGTGTAATTATTTCCAATTTTAGAGAGAGAGAGAGAGAGAGAGAGAGAAGGGGGATGTTAATTAGTGTTTGGTTTATGTGGAAATAGTATTGATCTATCTACTCGTCATTCAACGATAGGAAAAAATATATTATAGATATTGAATTACGTATCGACTTACCCAGTCCTAGCGAAATTGGCAAAGTATTGAACGATGCTCTCGGATAGTGCCACTTCGGATCGCGTGTAATTCTTTGGGAAGTGTGCGAATCCGTCTACGAGCGCAGCACCAAAGACGAAAGGTAGCTCCTCGCCGTGAACGGAGCCCATTTTCTGTAAAGCAGTTTATCTTACTGTGACCAAGCTTCGTGAAATATTTGTATAAGCTAGGAAAACGTTGAAAGAAATGGAAGAGAAAAGGCGAGAAAAGAGTTTTTCCGATTTTCTTCCATAGAATCATTGATGTTGCTCGAAAGCAACGAAACGAGAGCTTTCTTCTTTTTTTTTCCCTTTATCTCTCTTTTCCTTTTTTCTATTGGCGAAAATAAAAAAAGAGAAGTAAAGTGCAAGTCAAATGTAGATAAGCAATTTAACCAGATAATAGTTTGATTTATTTATGCATTTATCTCTTTATAGATACAATCTTATCAACTTGTAGAATAAATTCATTTGATCGAGTATAGTATTGCATTGGGTGTATTAATTTGATCGAAATCTCAACGCGGACGCAGACACTTACATTAGAGAGAGAGAGAGAGAGAGAGAGAGAGAGAAATATTATATATAAACAGGAAGAGTTGATAGATTATAAGTATTTTTCTTTTGTATCCCGTTCGTCTACCCTTTTGTTTCTTAATGTCGTAGCAATAAAGGTAAGAGGATTTATGATCTCGCGTTGGCGTGTACGACGGGCTCGGAGCTATAACGCGTTAATATGTCGGAAAGATTGTCGTCGCGCCGGCAAACGTCTCCCAGTGGCGAATTTATCTGCTTCCTAGCACAGGACACGTACGAGTAATTCAATTTCTGTGGCAACTCCTTTCCTGCGAGATTAGTTACACGTTTCTCGAAGAAAACGGAACGAACCTTTTCAACTAAAAAAACCAATGAGTTCGCGCATTTATATCTATTTAACGCACCATTAAATAAATTATTATTTAACATTTATTCGCGCCTCCAAAATATTCCTTTATTTGGTAGAATTAGTTACAGTAATTAACATAATTATTCTTATTTATATTATATACATATAATAGTTTTCGAATTTGTAATTGAACGCGAGATTCGGTAGGTGAGAGCAATATTACGCTATTTTCAAAAAGTATCGTGACTTTCGTCGAATTAGTTTTTTCTTCACGGTTCTACCATTATTTCAATAGTATCGCTTTCGATAGTTTCGATTTCATCGTATCGAAGAACCATTAACCGACGAAATTGCTTCGAGATCGAGTCCTTTAGCACGATGGATGCAATCGTCTTTACGCTATCTATCTTTTCGATATATACTTTTGACTGTATCGTCTAAATCAAGCAACGACTATTTCTACATGAAATGACTATTTTCATTCAATAATTTCAATTGATGAACAACTTGCAGATTATTTTTCTAATGAAATATCTTCCATGCGACAATAAAATATTTCCTCAAGTTTGTACAAATATGATTACATTTTTAATATCATTTTGATATCATAATAGATTTAGAAGAAAGCTTTGAATTCGTAGATTTATACTAAGTAGACACGAACAAAAGGAAATAGAAGAGAAGAAGTGGGCTACGAAAAAGGGGAAGATCGGAATTGAGGTCAGAGAGTTTAAGAGTAATAGGAAAAAAAAAAAAGAAAGAAAATGCATTAAGATTAAAGGTAGATCTTAGTTCGTCCTCTTTGCGTTAATTTGACTAGATTTTATCATGGAATTTTCTGATCGAGCGAATGAAGAGCCAGTTAAAATTATTATATTCAATCGAATCATTTCTATTATTCGTTATTCGCGTTATTTCTTATCATCGATAAAACTAATTATCGATTTGCTTATGATATTCTTTCCTTCGATTCTAATTTCTTGATCCTCGTTTCTTGTTTAATTAAAATATTTGATTTAAACTTGACGTCGTTCATAAATGACTTTGACCACATTGTACGTTCGCCTTCCGCAAAATATTCTCGGTTTCGAGATCTCGTAAATTCGAAACGTTTGAGCGATCCTAAATCCGATAGTATTCTAACTTCGTTCGCTCTTGTAATCGTCCCTTTCGCCATCTTCAAAGACAAATGCGAGACTAGCAAAAAGCTCTTGAAACTTAGACGTATATTTCCTGATATTTATTCGATAATCTTGCAATCCTGAGTCTGCGTTTGCTTTTGAAAGCTTCCACGACGCTCTTACCTTTGGAGTTTTGAGAATTCTCAAATATCTATATGTATTTTCTAGTGTAAATAAGGACACTGCCAGTAGAGTAAATGCATTTACACTTAAATATATAAGATATTTTCTAAACTGTTCGCAACATTCTTGGTATCTGAGTATTAGAAATTCTTTGAAGAAAATCCGGTTTCCTATTGATGTGTATTTGTAGTTTGGAAAAACTATAAAACCCTTGCCGAGTTTATTGAAGGCATATCTCGTGTACGTGTTTATATAAAATCGACATAAATGCATAGGACTCAGATTCAGTCTAATTGTAAGCTTAACTTTAAGGCGAATAGGAGTTTCCGTTATTTCTGCGTTTGGTTATTATTAACATCCTATTAATGAGTTTTTCTTTAGTTAAACTCGTTTAGCGAGATAAACTCAATAGGAAAGTATCTATGCCAGTATCTAATAAGAGAAATCGGTAAGAGAAAGGGAAGGAGTTTCTTAGTAAGAGAAATTGTTTCGAATCGTGAACTTGGTAGAAATTCGAGGAAACGGAGGTAGAATCGGTCCGATATATCCAAGCGTGCATCGTACATTCGTTTCGTAATGAAATTAATGGTATTAGAGGCCGCACTAGTATGTATATACCGTGTGTTAGCTTGGATTCTCGACAATGACGAAATCCAGTTGGCGAAACAACTTCGATGAACCTTCTCTCTACAGTTAGACAGTGATGGATACGCAACACGTACACTGGCCTTGCAACTTCGCGTTTTGGATTTGGTTTCTATGTCCTATCCCTGCTCTCACGATTTCTCTTATTCCTTCTCTCCCTCTCTTCAATTTTCTTTCTCTCGACCTATTTATGCATCCCTCTATATTTATTCCTCTGTCTTATATAGAGAATAGATATTTCACGTGCCATTAAAAATAACCAAAAAAGAACACTTCGATTTAAATATATTTATTTAGTATTTTGGGTGGTATTAAAGTGGTATCGAATTCGTGCAAACCGAGCCTTTCAATTTGATAAAGAATGATTACAGTCAGGGAGTAAGTTAGAAGTTTTAACTGAAACTGAGTAGTTGATAATAAAGGCTCCGGAACTATGCTCGATGGCTTGTTTCTCATTGCGGATTCACATTTAGCAGTTTCGGAATAGATCATCGTGGCCCATGAAGTTAATAAACCAAGTTCGTAGACGAGCAAGAAATGCACCGTTAACGGGGAAAATCTATAGAAGAATCGGAAGGTGCCTCGAGCCGCTTTACTCACCGTCTTTGTACCGTGGACAAGTTTAAAGTCTTCTGAAAGGATGAAAACGACAAGGATGAAAACGACAAGGATGAAAACGACAAGGATGAAAACGACAAGGATGAAAACGACGGTGAGACAAAAGCATACGAAAGCGATAGATGACGAGGATGTAGCCTAAGGCTTCTATTTTCATCAGCCAACTGTAGGATTTAATGACTCGCCGCTTCATTGCTAGCATAGATTGTTTTATCAAATTCGAATGTGTAAGACTTGTAGCTCGCTATGTCCCTTACGTTATATTTCGATCATCCGCGTTGACTTTTATTCTATAGTGATATCAGATTATAATAAATGTAATAGATACATAATAGATGTTGATTGAAAACTAGTAGTAGCGACCGAGTGTGTTGCAGAAGGAAAAATTTACAAAATAATTCACAAGCCTCTCGGAGACTTGCTCCGTCTATAAACGTATTAATTATCAAAGGAAATCTTTGGGATATGCATAGACCAGGAAAATCGATGAAGGATCGATCGTTTATTAATTTAGGAGTTTCTCGCAATGCTCGCGTTTCCGCTAACTAAGCTGAGATGCGAGCTATGCGCGAGTTTGCGGTGAAAACCAGTGGATTTGTGGAATGCGATTGAATAGACAGTTATCTGAAAATAATTGTCCAAGTTTTCGGGGAATATCGCTGATATAGTTATAAACGAATCGTTTTATTCGAATTCGCCTCGTAATTTTGATCATTGAAATGGCTTTTATCGAACCCGTAATGTAAACTGCACGATCGTTTCTAATTATAATCGTACGATTCTCATTTGAGAGCTTTCGGTGATTCAAAAATGAACGCGATTGAAAGTGTATTTATTGTTGCAAATTGCCATCAAAGGCATTGAAAATAGTAGTTATACATATATGTGTATCTATAAAAGAATTGATTCCAGAATATCGAACGTTTTGATGAAAAATTCAATTTAATCGTGGACGCTTATAGAATTTCTTCATTAATTCTCTATCAATCAATTTGATTTGATTATTTTTTGATAATAGATTGATTATATTTTCTCTTTACTTTTTTTCTATTAGCTCGTAGATATGCTTCTTGACGGACGAGTTTACAATAAAACTTTCTTACTTTTCTTTTTTACCTCGAACGTTCTTTTCTCGCCTGTTCTCCAAGATTCTTTTAAATTAAAGATTCTTCGTTTCCGGAAGTAGTTTCAAAGATGATGGGCGCGTGCAGTCTGTGCCGAACACTGAACACCTTTATAACTTTTAATGTACGCGAGTCAAAACCTTTTATCCCGTTGACGGCGATGATGATGGTGGTAGTGCGAGTAGCAGTAGTAACATTAGCAGTACCAGCATTAGTAGTAGTACGATATTTTAATACGCGAGACAACATTTTATTATGAAAAATGCAAACTTTCCTTACGGTTTTCTCTTTCTCTCTCTCTCTCTCTCGCGTCTTTTACTTTTCTGTTAGAGCAATTAAAAGAAAGTTTTTCTATCAGATTTCTATCAGATTTCTATCAGATTTCTATCAGATTTCTATCAGTTAAATTTCTAACAGAATGATCATTTCGTTAACTCCAGTCTTGTATATAATGTTGATATGGGTCGATGAACGAATGGGTCGACGCTAAAAAAAATGCACTTCTATACGATGTGGATTAACAAATGAATATCGTGGAAATACGTAAACGTATATCGGACAATATTTTAATTCGATTAAAAATGAATCGAACCGTTTCCATTATTTCATCGTTTCTTTTATTTTTTCTTCGCTCGCGGTCATTTTGTTAAAATTGTATTTTCGTTAATCGGATTGTAACACTTAGCACCTTCAACAAAATCCTGACGAACCAAGTAACGACCATCGAAGCGTTGAAAGCTGATCCTTCGAACTCGCTTTGATACGGGTAATTTACTCTCCGGTTGTTCGAACAGATGGGGGTGTTCCCCCTGGAGAATGGAAACTGAAATACTGCCGAAGATGCTGGCAAAGAAGAGAAAGAACAAGTAGAAAGAAAAAAGAAAAATCGTTTGTGTTGTGTGTCATCAAACTTTTCCTTTTCCTCTTCCTATTTCTCTTCCTTTTTTTTCTCCCTTTTCTCCGTCTTTCTCTCTTTTTGCTTTTATTTTTTTTTTCGGTCGAAGATTGTTCTGAAAGTCTTAGAAAATTGCTGGCAGGCCGAATTGCCGAAGACCAAGACTAGCTACGCGACCACCATTTTATTTGCTATTATTTTAACGCCCCTTTCCAGTTGAACGCTTTTTCTCGCCCTTAATGCGGTGTCACGTCGATAAACAAGATTTTCTCAGTCTTTTCCAAAGATTTCTCTTATGAAGACTTTCCTTTTTCCTTTTTCTTTTTACGATCTTTTCTTTCGTCGTTTACAATTTTTTTTTTTTCCGATAAACGGGTCTTTCGTTTTTCTTTTTTTTCTCTAACCATTAGCTGAAACGAAAATACAATTTATATAAAAATCATTTTCAATGGAATTTCGAATCGATATTAATCGTCTCTTTTGATATATCTTTTCTTTTATATTGTCTCGTATTATCTCCGTTAGAAAGAAAAATAATGAATTTTGGATAGAAATTAGTAAACGATATGTTTATATGCAATGAAACCGACAACGATATCGACTATCAACATAGGCTTCGATTAATGTGAAAGCACAGCTCATAGTATGACGAGGTAATTACACGATATTCCCATGAATATCTTATTGACGTTATTGCCGATTCCTGCATCGTAATTCTGTAATTCCAGTATACATGAATGTATAGCTGTACTTGTAGTGTTTACAGGGATATTACAGTGTTGAATATAGTTACATAATTCGTGATATATCTACCATAGGTAGATATAGGTGCATATTGGCTCTCTGGACTGTCAATTTTCTTTCTATATAAAGTATTATTTTGTAATATATATGTTAATTTATTTTTTTATTTTATATTCAATCAAATTATCGACTAAATCCTTGGGTCTATTTAACATGACTGATGGAGAGAGAGAGAGAGAGAGAGAGAGAGAGAGAGAGAGAGAGAGAGAGAGAGAAAGAGAGAGAAAACAATGTTTATTGCAACATTTTAAGCAAAATGTTTCCCATACATCGATTATTTTGTCTTTAACGATATAGAAAATAATAATCTTTTAAAAATTCGATATCTAGGTTATTTTTGAACATTTCAATTAGACGATTAGCTCGCGGACGGATTAGCTCTTCCTATAGGGAGAAGTAACTATCTATACTTATACATTTCTTGATAGATCTATTAGAAAAGATCGGATACGTTTATCTCTATCATTGCATAGTTTGATCAATTCACGATTTAACTTTAATAAGGGTATGCAGGAAGTAGCGGAGACGATAGTGGATTTAAATTGAAATGGAAAAAGCCGGTTTCGGCTTTCCTGGGCCATTTGAGATTTTCCGTTTAGCCCCCGATGCAGTCGCGAAATCATTTCGATTCTTCGTAAGAGGAAACGCCGGCGGATCCATCCCGACGACCCCGTGGAACAATGCTAGGATTGCCTGGCCGGTTGCAACTGAGGGGGAATCAAGTGAGAACGAAGGGAGGAAAGCTTAGGAGAGCACCGGCCATTGTTCTTTTATCGCCCAATTATTTTCCCGTCGCGAACGTACATACATATTAGAAGGACCGGAAAGTAAAGCATTATTTTCAGATGGTCTAGTTTTAGTTAGTCTCTATCTATACACGCTGGAATAAAAATCCATTTTTTGTATTAAAACGCGAGAACGGATACAAACGTGAAATATTTGACTAGATGAATAATATGAAATCCAAATAATCTTGGAAAAAAAAACAACAAGAATAGGATGGAACGTTCGATGTACGCGAAGTCATTACTGAAGCGCGTAAGGAAATTATCATTAAATAAGATAACGTGTATAACAGAATGAAGGGTTTCTATTCTTCATTCTGAGAGAAAAAGAAAGGAAAGAATAGAGCTTCTTCACTTTCATTTTTCATTATGGCAGAGGAAAGGTTCGTTCTATTTTTATTCGCGAGACGCGCAACGCGCGGTTTTATTTTTACAAGGTGGATCTTTTTCCGCGCTCATTAAGCCGTACTCGTCCTTAATTAGCTCCGTAAAGAAAATCAGCGGACGGAAGCTGCTCGAGAATGCCTGCGGTAGTTGGAAAGAAAGACCATATTGAGATTTTCTCTGAGTGAAAACCTGAAAGGAATAATTTATATACAGAAATATGCACTACCGCGAATCTAATAACGAAATTTATTTTAAATAATGCACAGACCGTTCATTCCGTTACGATTGAATTATGTAAGATTTTGTTCGCGAATTCAAATCATTTCCATAAGATTTTTTCTTTCTTAACAATGAGTAAATCTTAGGGTTCAGTTAACGGTGTTTAGTTTATCACGATCACCATCATAAGTAATCATTTTCCATAGAATCGCTTACTCTTATGGTTAAGATACTTTTGTTCTTGTCTTATTTTGGAATTGTTCCACTATTCGTTTACTTTTCCAATTATTTAGATCGGTCGGAAACTATGGTAGAGACGCGTATATATTTTTCTTTGTCCAAATATACATATAACACCACGGGCATTCTCGGCAACGAGAGAAACTAATGCGTAACTAGGAATATGCACGCGTCGTATATTATCGCAGGGTAGAATGTACGCGATTCTCTCTCGTGCGCATCCATGAATCACCTATGGTTAGAATGTTATGCTAGTTTAGCTAGTAGCAGACGCGAGCGAGCTGTACTACTTGTACGAACCACGTGTATGCCGACATTGTGAAACACTTCTACCGTAATTCCTCTCGGTAACACGTTATTGTGGTTCTTATAAACGTTTTCTATTTTTTCGTCTTTGTTGCATTTGTTCTTGATCAAACGAACGTACAAACTTTACAAGCATATGCTTATACTTATATGATTTTTACGCGTATCCAATTGTTTCTCTTTAAAAGTAATTTTAACAGACAATCAATTATTATTTATTAAGTAATTAAATATTCATTTAGTACGCGTTTAATATAACGGGTCAAAAAAGAGAAGATAAAAAAACATTTGTCCCGCGCAGTTCGCAATCATACGTTTTTCTTTCCACAGTTAATTTATCGTTTGCAATGACGAAATTGAAATAGCTTCGGTAGAAAAAATATTCCGATAACGGGAAACTACCCTCGAGCCGGCGTTTTACGAGAAATCGCTTAATTAATTGAAAAGCTTCGCGTTGTAAATTCTGCGATAACCGGAAACTCTGTTTCAGAATTACGTACCGTCGATGGACAATAACGATCATTGTGTACAGTGCGAGTTGAACGTTTTGTTTCTCCACGCGCGTATGTTTTATTCGACGATTCTAGCGTTGAAAAAATTTCGTCATGGTAAATAAAAGTTCGTCCGTGTTAATTGCGTTCCAATTGCGAACAACTTTGACATATATCGGCGCCCGTAAATTATCACTCTGCACGATTCGTCAGAGAGAAAAGTTCTAAACTTTTCATTTATATCTAAATATATAGAGGTACGAAGTCGTTACCCTTTAAACAATTAAAACATCGCCACACTTCTAATTGCATTTCTACGTTTGATTCCTATTAAATCTTTAGGTTCAAAACTGTCCCACCTTTTGCTTAGTTTTTTATGCATGATGGGATATATTTTAACCCATTTCCAAAAGTTCAAGCTACTCATAGTCGTACAGCTTAATGTTTTTTTTTTCAAGTTTTCCATTTATTATTATTTCACGTTTTATAATTATTTTGAAGCTGAATAAGCGATGGGGTCGATCACTTTTCGAATTTTTATTTTCTTTGAAAAAGATCGTAATCAAATGTGATTTCATTTACCTGTGGATAGTCCCCGTCCTTCATCTGATAATCGAAAACGTAAAAGAAGGTTTTTGGCATGGGTTCCTTCTCGATCTCTGGTGGTGGGGCGATGTGAGGATTATTTGGCTTCTTCGTGTGTCTTAGAGTGAAAAGATCGCCAGTTTGAACGAGCGGTGCTACAAATTGTGCGTCGCTCAGTGCCTGAACACATGCATCTTTTGTATTCACCGGATGCTGCACAGTCCGTTCCCAATCCGAATATTCGTTCACGACCTGAACAAAATGTACCGTCTTAATTAATAATAATTAATTGTTAGATTTTGCAAATGTTTTCTTGACAAAACATGGTGTTCTCTTTTTCTTTTATCTTCCTGAGATTCTTCTGCGGTGACTAACATACAATTTTTAATCAACAACATTTATGTTACAATTAATTATGAATTAGTTATGTGAGGCAAATTGTAAAAAAAAATAAATATTTGTCGAGATGAAAAAATGTGTCAATCGATATTGCATAGGTAGATATTTAGTTGCATTATTTTTGGACGTATCTCCGTTTGTCGGGATCGATCGGCGAACGTTTGCAGATAACGCGAAACGTATAGGTAGGTAAATATTTATTATGACCAAGAGACGTATCGTAGCTTGTGATACGAAAATAATTTGTGAATTATGGGTGCGGATATATGGACGCGGGTGGTAGAGGAGAGGGTGGACGATTTTTACAATTCATATACCGATGGGTTTCTCCTATATGGACGTTTTGTGCCGTGGTTATCGTTTTGCCCGTTGGCGATCCCGTTATTTTCATTCTATCGAGCAGAGAGAACGTCCGGAGAGGATACCAGAGATAAGTAATTAAAGGTTAATGCAATTTTTTCAAATAAGCATCGTCTAGAAAACATCAACCTTTCGATAATATTCTTTTTCTTTTTTTTTCTTTTTTTCATATCCGAATATTTTCTAGATATTATACAACGTTCCGATCTTTTAATTTAATATAGAAATTCTTGATGAGTTTTTCAAAGTCATAGGTATTTCTTGGATTCAACGACATTTTTGTTTTTTATTGGATCGTGCAACTGATCGAAAAATAGAATTCTCCTGAGCCTGTGAATGCGAAGATTAATGAGTATGGAGAAAGCGAAATAGGATTCTAACCGTATAAAATATCTCCGTTAAATGATATACGTAAGCATTCCTGACGTAAGTCCTGATGATTCTGTCTCTCCTTTCACCCTCGAATCCTTGATGCACATCCTTCTCTGCAAATTTCCAAAGAGCCTCGCTGGTCGTGACGCCGAACAATAGGTCGTATTTATTATTGCTCGTTATGGGTGCTCCGTGTTCAGCTTTTTTCGGTAATGGTCTGAAAATATATGTGCCAGTGTTTTATTTTTCTCTCTCACGAGCATTGAAAATTTCAACAAGTATTTGACAATTAGTGGGATACTTATTTCGCGTAGATCGCGTATGAACTATTAGGATCTTTAATTTCTTAACCACAAATGTTGTTGGAAATAAAATGAAATAAAATGAATGCGTGCGTACCCGAATCCTTGAAATTCTGGTCCAAGATAGGACAAAAGATCTTTCTGAAAATCAGATCTAATAACGACCCCGTCGACACTCGGTCCAAAGGCGCTGAGGAAAGTTGGTGGTTGTATGTCGATCTGCATCAATTCTTCGAGGCTGCTTTCCCTTAGGCAATCGACTATCAGCTCGTTGTCCTTGAGTAGGTCTTCGGGAATGGAGCAATTTATCGCTCTAGCGAGCTTTAGCGCATAGAAGACAGGATCTTCGACTACAGCCCAGGAAGACAGTGCACTGCCTGAGAGAAGTATCGCCCTTTTGAACAGACCTAAACCCAAAAGGTTCATCTTTTTTTCCGCTCGATAAATTAGATTAGGCTCGTCGGATCGAACGAATTCTACAATTAACAAGATTAAACATTCGTTACTTTTTTTTATATTCATAATGATAATGCGAAATTTGTAAAAAGACTCGTCAAATTTGACCATTTCCCACGGGGGAGAAAGATACAAGTGGAAAAAGTGCGCCCGTTTGCTCGACGACACGTTGAAATGCACTTTGAAATACACGTCAGGTAGAATAGATGACAGGACAACACTCCAATCCAATAGCCACCAAAGCGATCTAAGAATTTCGATGACAATTGGTGGAAAATGAAGTTTACAATTTGACATTTACCGAGTTAAGAGAACAGCGTCACGTTCTTCGCTTACCGTCTACCTCGATTTCCAATGTGTCAGAAATCATTGCCAAACCTTTAAGCTGATTTGCGAAAAATTCGGAACGAAAGAAGGGAAGATAGGTTAGCATTTATGTCATAATGAACTTGTGCATAAATCGCTTTTTTAAATATTAACATTTATTATAATATTTTCAAGAGCCTCGCGCGAAAGGTGATTTTTATTGAATAGAATTCAATGTGAATGGATACTTAAACGAAACTCTTTAAACAAAATATCAAAATTGTAGAACCCTTGATTTTTAATAGAAGACTTTCATTGGAAAAGAATGAATTAAATGTTTTCAATAATGTCCTTCTAATAAGTTTTCCAATAGCATCGTGCCAAAGTTATCACCATCAATTTCGAGATGCATCTTTTTTTTTTTTTGACTACTTTAAGGATGAAAATTATTTTTGCATAATATACAAACGTAATAAAAGGTTACATTTTCAATGCCAATTATAAAAATGATATTAAAAGTTATATAATTAGCTAGCTTATCGATTCTCGTAAGATTGGAGAACAAGTGGAAAATATTATTGGTAGTTTGAGACAATTTAAAGCATTCCTCCCATCCCTCTTCGGTACGGTAAAATTCGATGAACGAAGGTACGTGCACGTAGATAGTTGGTAACACGTTGCCCTTTCGATATTGCTCTCATCTTTCTTAACATCTTCATCGAGAAAGGAACGAACGAACGAACGAACGAACGAACGAACGAACGAACGAACGAACGAACGAACGAACGAACGAACGAACGAACGAACACACTCACTATGGTCGAGTTCACGGTTAACATTTTCGAGCGAACGGCACTTTCTGATCGCGTTAAACTCACCTCTCAAGAAAGAAGAGGATATCGAATCCGTGTAAGATCTCGATTCTTTTCGCGATATTATGTGTGTGAAATATTACTCATCCCTTCTTTCTCTTTATTTCTTTATCCGTATGGTTTCCATCGAGCTCTTCCTTATCCTCATCTCTATTGGAAAATACTTTTAGCCATTATGAGAGAGCATTCGCGCGTGCACGATTTCTACCGCGTGTATTCTTCTCTATATTCCGTTCTTTTCATTTACTCTTTTTATTTTTTTTTTTCACTCCCTCGCATTTCTCGATGCAATCATAATATAATAGTTCTTGGGATTAAAGAAATTTTTGTTTCCTTCGAAACTTTATTCAATGATTATACTACTTTTTCGGACGTTATTAAAAGTATACCAGGGAAAGCGTTATATAGCTCGATCACTTTCATACTTAAATAGTTTGAAAATTTTACAAACTCTGAAAGAGAGAGAATTAAAATAGGAACCCGGTTAAAGCATACTACGATGAACTTGTAGCTTTTTCTCTCATAAATTATATCGGATGAGGAGAAGGAAAAAAAGTTTCAAAGTTTATTAATAAATGAAATGATCAATAAACTAATGTTTTAATTAATCCGGTTAAAGAAGAAAGATCGATGCCGTATTAATAAAGTTAGCATGAAATTTTAAACGTAAGCACCGCGTTAATTCGTACCTAGGTGAAATATCTACTTTAACGACGCGTATCTGTAATAATAGGATATTTTGAAATCGATGAAACATCCGTCTGCGAAGTAACTCAACGTGCATCCGTGTAACAGTCCCGTTTCTTTATTTTCATGAACGACATGTAACTCTCTTCTGCCCTTTCCCGTGAAATCCGATTTCTTTGATACTTGGAGAGCTTTTCGATCGAGACGAAAGGCTTTGTGCCGAACAAAGCGCATTATTTCGTTACGGACGCGGAATGGAACTGTCGCGGGAGACTTTTCCCGAAAGAGAGTTCCGTGTAAAACGAGATACGAGCTTCGAATTGCATGCACACCAGTTTTCATATTTTTCTAGAATTTGTCGAGTACAGAGAAAATAATTATTCGCGCGAACGTTTCGAAGGTGTATCTATTATAATATTTGTGTCACCTCTTATGACGGTCGGACTGATGGCAAGAAAATGGACACAAGCAGCCCCCGTCCCCTGTCCCATAAGGCTAACGTTCTCGGGATCGCCGCCAAAAAGTGCTATGTGCTGCTGGACCCAGTGTAGAGCCGCGATTTGGTCCATCAGCCCGTAATTCGCCACCCTCGCCTTCGTTTCGGGCGCCACGTTGGCGTTCAGGAACCCGAGCACGCCCAGTCTGTAGTTGATCGTGACGATCACTTGCTCGGTGTAACTGGCTAGGACGCTACCGTCGTAAGGATTTCCGCTTCCCCACTCGTAGCTTTCCCCATGAATGTAGAGGACAACCGGATGTCTCCTACCACTTTCTGCCATGCCTGGAACACAAAAGCGGGCTATGCTTGATTCGACGTCTCTTTCATTCGCACACAACTTCGGCTTCGCTTCGCTTCACTTCGGTTTCGCTTCGATTATTACCAGAAACGGCCATTTACATCCCTTCATATTCCACTCGACATTCAATGTACCTACCTACCTACTTATACAGCTGAAAATCCATACTTTTCAATGCTATGACTTTTATTTCTTTGCTATTCTACAGAGTGGCTTTTTAAAATCGGAACACTTTATTCATGTTTCGGTGGAAAAACTTCTAAACTCTAAAAACAAAGTAACGTACAAAGTTACCCTGTTTCGATGTAATTTCGATCGAAAAATTTCTCCCCATAATATCATAAGAGAAATTAAGACGCTTATAACGTAGACACTGATTCTAAGGCAAAAAGTTAGTTAGAGAAAGAGAAATTGCTCCTTTCGTTGTCTTCTTTGAAAATGCAGTCATCGTCGACTGCGTGCCGGACTCCGAAGAGTTCCCTCAAACTTTTTTATAGGGTTACGACTTCTAAGGTCAACATTCTTCTTTGTTTTAGGAAAAGCTTTCTATTTTACTTCGCTATTATATTCTGCATCTCTTGCTCTACATTACTCTTCCTTACTTTTCTCCAGTCCAATATAGCTGGCTACAATTTTCCATTCAAAATTATACCTATACGTCGATATATTACCTAGATAAAAAGTATTAATCGTTTTACGCTCATCGTATGGTTTTTATCTGACGTATCTGCATAGGTCATAGGCTGGATAGTTCTCCATTGAGCGATTTCAGGCTTCTAATTCGTGGGCTTGGACCAACTGGCAAGTTTACGATAGGTAGTTGTTCTAGCTAAATCCTGATTAACATATCGATTTGCATGGACAGTCCCGAGGACTCGGGGCTCGCGATAAAGCATCGTATTTTGAGCAGAAGATGGGAGAATGGCGTTTTCCCTCGATTAGCGGGACCGAATTAGGATACTAATTCGCTTCGACTACGTACACGCGTGTCTATTCGTGTGCTATTCGTACATACGTACGTTTGGATTGCAACGAAAAACACAGAAACACAAAATAGGGAAAAGAAAAGAAAAGAAAAGAAAAGAGAACGAGTCGATAAATCCGGATGCTGGGATGCGTGAATGCCGTGTCGTATATGTTCTTTCGAATTTATGCAACATCGATGAAAGCTCCGACGAAAGCTCCGACGAAAGCTCCGACAAATTGAACGCGACGGAAAAACATAGAGGGCTGATAAAAGCGCGTCGCGTTTTGTAGCCGATAGACTCGATCGCATTCGAATGCGCATTTCGAATTTTTCGAGTCTCGCTCGCCTGAACTCGTTTCTATCTATACGCTCATCTGTTTTTTTCTTTTTTTTTTTTTTTTTCTAATTTTCTCACCTACAAAATTGAAGCACGAAATCAACATTTTTGCAATCAATTTTTTCTTAGCTCGTTTATTCGTCGAAAGAAGATCGTCGTGTATTTAGTCGTCTTGTATTTCCAAACGATTTCGTATTTTATATCACTTTTATAGGAATAAATAATTGTGAAATGATTTTTCCGATTTTCAAATTGACTTTGATAAACGGATATTGTGCTATTTTTGATTGTTTTTTCCAAATGAATTATGCTCGCAAACCGAGGTTCCACTGTATTTCGTTAATCTCTCTGGCAATATTTCTTTCGAACAACTACGAGAACCGAAGGTTGATTCCTAACGAGGGTTTGCTATCTTTTCGGATTTTAATTAATTCAAGTGCTACAGGGCAACGCGAGTAAAAGAAAATTTTATCGTTTGTAAGAAATGCCGTAGGAGAGAGAGAGAAAGAGTAAAAAAAAAAGAAAAGGATTTGTTACTATTTTTATATACTTTGGGACTATTTTTGATTCAGTTAACTTGATACCTTGATATAATTTTCCTTCTTTTCTTCTCTCGTTCGGTCTCTTTTTGTCAGTGCAGTGCCGAAATTGTGGCCGGAAAAAGAATAGAAAGAGCCCACCTTGAGAATACGGAACGTCCAGCCTTGAGAATAGACGGAAATTTTGCAAGGATAACCGGAATTTTCGGTCCAGTTAATTTTTTCTTTCTTTTATTCTTCCACTTTCTTGTTTGCATAGAGCTTACGTTGAACGAATAAAAAAGGAAAGGAAGAAAAGTAGGCGAGTGAAAAAAATGGCGAGGAAGATGAAATAGTAGGAACAATCAAATACGATTTTGGTGGAAGAAAATGAAAAAAGTCTTTACCTTTAAGGAAAGAAGAAGAGAGTGATAAATGAGAAATCGAAGTTGTGGGAGGATACCTTCGACGGAGACTTCGTTCGACGTAAAAGCCATTGTCGTTGGGATTAAGGCATTAGTTGCTTAGGAAGTATCGTCCCATCTCTCTTGAGCGCAGGCTCTACGAAATATAGGAAATATCGTGTAAGTTTCTAACTACCTATACATACACGCGCCACGCGTTCCCCACTTTTGATCGGCATCGAATAATCGATTAAACTTTTTTAACTTTATCTTAACTTTTATTTATTATATATATATATATGTTTTATTTGTCGATTTATTTGCGCGTTTTGATAAAGTGGTACAATTCGTGTATATACAGTGGTACCTCGGAAATGTGCTTATAATTTAAAGCACTCGTATATGCAAACCAATTGCGCTATATGAAATAATGGACAATCGGATAATTCATTTCATGACTATTTATTTAGGCAAGCGTATTCGTACCGCTCGTATCGCAAGACATCGTTCGTTTATTAAATTTCCTAGAGAAGTAACTGGAGTCTGTAAAAGAGACATATATTATATTGTATATATGTACATAAAAATTATGAGGAGAATGAAAAGTTTCAGTAAAGAGGATAGGACAGAAAGTTTGTAAAGTACTTCGCTAACAGAGTACTTACCTGATTAAGGCTTTGGTATAATTTCAGGAGGAGTAGAGTTGGTTAAAAGATGCGGTGGTAAGGGAAAGAAGGAGTAAGAGGGCGAGCAAAGGAGGATCCCTCGGTAAGAGTAAGTTTAGGTATCTTAGTTATATCGAAATGATGAAACGCACGTCTCGTGTAGCCACTCTTAGAAGGAGAATCTCAAAGTGGACCCAGCTGCAACTGTGAAAACTCCAAGTTTCCAGCAAGCAGTTATTCTCGAAAAGGAAATATCAAGCTGATAGACGTAAAAAGATCGAACACGAGTCAGCTCGAAAGAGTTTGGATCGCGTTCGCTAATATCGAAAATCCCGTTCAGCGACTCTTCGAAGTATCTTTTGCGAACATTTTTGTCGATAAAAAAGTATTCGATGAAAATCGAAAAAAGAAAGTATTGGATATTCTTATCAATGTATACACCACCTATGTTAGAATGAAACCTTTATAAAAAATGATGCACGCGTCAAGATAAAAGTATCAAACGGCGGAGATGGTTTATGTTAGTACGAAGAGTATCGAATCGTTCAAAGGAAAAAGCTTCAAATTACAATCTATCGAGATTGTTTCTATACGACGATAGTATCGAGTGGTCATGCGTTTGAAACGACTCCTTATTTTAACATGCACCAATGTTATTTCTCCTAGAGGAATGCAAACAGATACGTGCTTGTTGATCCAGGAGCACGATTCATATTTACCTCACGTTACTTGGAAAAGAATAAAGATGTAAATAAAACAGTGTCGAGCTTGCTTGTTTTTCTAGAATTTTATCTTAGAAATAGTCGGTAAGAAGAATGCTTTTTAAATGCATGATGTGATGCAACTAGATGAGTATGCAATGAGGGAATGATTAAAAGAACGATAACTAGTGTTTCTTTAAAATTCATTTTATTTCCTCTAATCGTCATATTTATCTTAGCACGCGTGTAGTAACGTTAGGAGAAAGATTAAAGAGCCTTTGCAATGGCGTAGTCTAAATAATAGAAAATTAAATCGATGTCAGCGATAGCTTTTTAAATTGCTAGAATATGTGAAACTCTAAGCGTGAATGATGCACGCGAACGAATTTATAATTCCCCATCGTGTTAATGTACGTATTAAGTATAACTCATAACGGTGATGTTTCATGCATGAAATCGAGCCAACATAAAATTGCAAAGTAATTAATAATATTATATATTCTCGGTACTATTGTATTTAAGAGTAAGTCACTCTTGAGTTTCGATGGTCCACGTTGGATTTCACAGAATTTGTAATAAGCACCATAAGCAATGATTTATCTTAGAATAAAAATGAATGGCAGAAAAATGATAAGAAGTAAATTTGTTGTAAATTTTACTTAGAATATTTTCAAGTCGTTGGTTAATGAATAAATTAAAATAAAAGAAAAAGAGAATAAAGGGAAGAAAAAAGAGAGAGAAGCATAAAGGAGTTTTTTCGTTAGATCGGAAAAATAACGAATTTAAATGGAGTAATCGGTTTTTATCGACCAACGACAGCATTTTCATATTCTAACGTTCTCGCGGAGCTTGTTTAGCCGCGAAAGAGCTTCCACCGGTGGCTCTTTCCGTTCCCCTCTGAAAATATTCCTGCAACTCTCTACCTGAAATTTCTAAAAGCTTTCAAGATCGACGATTCCTTCGTTGACTCGATGAAGAAGCGCTGGAAAAAGGGCATGCCGAGCGGAAAAGTAAGAGGGATAAAAGTAAATAACTAGAAAGTAAGAAGGGAAGGGAGGGAGGATAACATCGTGTTACTTAAAAATTATCAATTTGTTTTTCCTTTAAAAGTATGTGGCTTAAAAAGGACGCGTCAAAAGAAAAAGATAGAGAGACAGATACTTACACAGAGCAAACTGCTAATTGTAATAAGTACGCGATGGCAAAGTAGGTAAATGGGTATATTCAATTTTGATTTTTCATTATTACTTTAGTTTCTTTAGTATATGAAACAGAAAAAGAAGTTTGAGAAAGAAAAATCAGGCAAAGTTAGAGAAATTTGTCTGTGGAGAAGGAAGGTTCGAGGAACGAAAAGATATCGACTGGTCGTAGAATACCTTACGACGACGGTTC